CGAACAGTTGTATCACATTAGTACTTCTAAATCTGAAATTAGTTTCCTATATTGGGTTGCATGCTCTTTGCTAATCTCATGTGATCAAGAAAGATTTCAAAACAAAGTCAAAATATTTGACTCATATTTTCACTATGTATGAATCAGTTTATTCTTGGACCAGCAGATAGCCTGCTCTAGAGACAGGGCAATTAAAAGATACCCTAGCTGCAAAAACTATGTGGAAGCCATGTCTGACTTCCCCTGGCTTTTCAAGGAGGAAAGAGACTCAAACTCAAAATCAGCCCAAGGCTGATTCCTATGAAGCAGAGGCCAGACATGCTTCCACCCTACAACTTTCTTTATTCTGACACCATCCCTCCCACAGCACTCTCTGCTTCACATCTAGGTTTGATAGATATATCATGACAATAAATCATAAATACAATAACATAAATAACATAACAATAAAACATAAATCATAGCAATACTCACTGTTATGAGGGCTTATTGTGGAAGTGAACAGGGTACAATTCAGGATCAAAACCAATGCAGGATGCAACAGTTCTCCAGTCAGGAACGCCGCTTGTCTGCCATACTCTTGACACACCTTACCTCATATCTTTGGCCTCTCAGCCATGTGGTCCCTTGGCATCTGCCCTGATTGGGCAAGTACTGCAAAGTTCTTTTAGCCAGCCTGTGACTGCCCAAAGGGTGCATTCTTTAAGCCAGTCTCTTGCCTGTAGGTAGGTATTCAGCTTTACTCAGTCCATGGACCTAAAGCCCGAAGCTGCTCTCCATGCCACTACCTTTGCTATCGCTTCTTGCCATTGCCTCTTATGGTCTCATGCTCCACTCATGTTCTTCCTTCTTGATGGCCCTAGGCTCTTCCATCTCTGCTTCTGAGATAGCCCCTTTTAAACCTAGCTAGAGGACCAAACTAACCAGTCTCAGCCTTAGAGCTTTGTATACCTTACTTGCATGGTCCCACCCAATCACTTCATGGGAATAAAGACAATTTTGGATAGAAAAGCCATATCAAGTAAATTCAAGGCACCACAGTAGCAAAGCAGATGAAAAGTTTAATTGGGTCATATCCTCGTTACATACCTACTTTAATCTTATGACACAGCCTTAGCAAAGGAATGATATGTCATACATGTATACATCATCTTCCCTTCCCTGATAATAAACTTTTGATGATCAGGGATTTTAGTTTATGTTTGTTTTCAAACTCACATCCCCTAATGTAAAGATTCACACAGCAACTATTTAGTACACAATAAATGAAATGAGTGTTTTAAAAAAGTAAATGCAATTATCAATGTGAGTTTGTTGCTAGCTTGGAGGTCATTTGATAAAATAATAGAGTCTAGTCATTAAAATAACCATAAAGGCAATTTACTTTCCTGTCCTTCCAATTGGTCAGAAAGATTGTCTTGCACATGACTTTTCAAATTTAATATTGGGCAGATTTGATTGCTATAAAGTCCTTGCTTATTTTACTGTGCAAAAATTTTTTCTCCTTGATTCAACTTCTGCACTCTAAAAATGTACAACAAATCAACCCTGTTTTCTATGCAACCACTCTTCAACTACTTGGCATTTATTGTATATCATCCTTATCCTATATGCCTTTACCCTTTATAGGTTTCACCTTCTAAAAGCTAGTTGTCCATAGATTTCTCACCTTTGTTGTCCGACTTCATAAGCACTCTTACCTTCTCTCTAAAAAGAATGTGCCTCTCCTATTTCACAAAGCAATTTTTCTTTAAACCACATCCATCACTGGTGTTGGAGTACTGATCATCTGATCATCATTAGAGTCTTTTTTTTTTTTTTTTTCCAGTTACATAAGGCTTTTTCCAAAGCACATTACATTCACTCCATCTAAACTGTTTTTGATACAAAATCTCTTTAGATTCTATAGTACAGTGAATTAATATGGCCCATTTAGCTCTGGTCTTGTGACTCCCACAGAAAGATTGGATGAGACTATACAAATAAAGTGCGTATGGCCCAACAAGGGGATTGGACAGCTTGAATATTAATGCAAATAAGGTAAATGGAACACTTTTAGGGGAGGGACCATGCAAATAAGGTGTATGGAACCCTAAGGAGGAGTGCAAAAGCCAAGTGGGGACCATGTCTGACTTTCCCTAGCTTCACAAGGGGAAAGGAGAATCAAACTCAAAATCAGCCCTTCCTACAAAGTGGAGTTCAGACTTGCTTCTACCCTACAACCTTCTTTACCCTGTTCTGACACCAACCATCTATCCCACAGCACTAAGTTTCATATCTCGGTCCATTGTAATGGCCACACAGAACTCATAACAGTACTCACAATTATGGGGTTTATTAGGGATGCCAATGGGGTACCATTCAGGATCAGAAAAGCTCAGGATGCAGCAGTTCTTCAGTCAGGAACGCCTCTTGTCTGCCATATAGCAGGCACACCTCACTCTTGTCTTGGGCCTTTCAGCCATGTGGTCCCTTGGCCTCTGCCCTGATTGGACAAATGTTACACAGAGCTTTTAGCCAGCCTGTGACTGCCCAAAGGGTGCATTCTTTAAGCCCATAGGCACTGTACACAATCTGTGGGTCTAGAGCCCAAAATTTCTCTGTCTCTACATGTTGTCGCTTATGCCATCGCTGTTTCTCTTGGTAGGGATCTCACGCTTCACTCATGCTCTTCCTTCTTGATAATCCTGGGATCTTCCATCTTTTTAAGCCTAGCTGGAGGGCAGAACTAATCAATCCCAGACTTAGAGTCCTGTGTACCTTATTTGTGTGGTCCATTCTAATCACTTGGTAAGAATTAAGACAACTTTCTATAACAGAGCCATATCAAGTAAATTTAAGGCACCGCAAAGAGATTGATTGATTTTGCTATCCCACTTGGTTTAAAAGGAGCCAATCTCAGATGCCAATAAGGGGACCACACTACCATCAAGTAGAAGAGCTAGGAACAGAATGTGTCCTTTGGACCCGGGATCCCTGCACTGAGAACTTCTTAGACCTAGGAGACAGAAAGAGCTATAGCACTGAAGACCACGAGAAGCAACATGTCAAGAGCAGCAGTGGCATGAGTAATAGGAACCAGTAGACCAGCCCAAGATAATAGGGTGGACTTCCTGGTTCACAAAGCAAGGTGGCTACAGTGGGCATGCCAACCCCCAGAGTGAAACGGCTGAGCTCCTTCAGGCAGGAAGCTTGCTGGTAGAGTGGTGTGCCTCTGGGCACATGTTGGCAGAACTGTAAAACTATAAAACTGGCCCAAGCAAGGCAGTGACCATGCAAGGGCTGAAAGAGAGAGAGGCCTACCGGTGGTCACTGTCAAGAAGCTGTCCTGATCAAAGAACTGAATTCAGAGTTGACTCTATCCTGAATTTTTAGCTGCTGTTTCAGGGTCCTGGTGGGGTGCTGTAGGATAAGCACTCTTTGGAAACCCTATAAAGGGTGGCTATGAGTTAGAACCAACTCAAAGGCACTAAATAACAGCAAACAACAACTTCCCCAATAAACCCCATAACTGTGAGTGTATTCTGTGAATTCTGTGTGGTCATTGCAATGAATTGACAAACCCAGCAGTAGAGAGAACTGCGGGAGGGATGGCTGGTGTGAGAATTGGTAAAAAAAAGTTGGAGTGTGAAGTTATGTGTGATCTCTACCTCATGGGAATAAGCCTTGGGCTGATGTGGATGATGATAATTATCCTTAACCCTTGTGATGTGAAAAATGACACTGAAAAGAAAAAAAAAAGTTTTTATTTTGATTTGGGTGAAAGTTTACAGAGCAAATTGGTTTTTCATTCGTCAATTTATATACATTCTGTTTCATGACATTGATTACAATCTTCACAGTGTAACAGCACTCTTTCCATTTACTCCCTGTAGATTTTCTTTTCATTTGTCCTTCTTTCCTACCCCATCCTGCCTTCTGAGCTTTGTCTCTGGGCAAACTCTGCCCTTCTGATCTCGTATCAAAAGAGTGCATACTTCCCAGGTATTGCTGTTCATCTCATAGGCCTATTTATTTGACTGGAAGTTGAATTATGGGGGTGACTTCAGTTCCAAGCTAGAAAAAATAACTAAGGGTTGTAGTCTCTGGAATTCCATCGCCTCTATCCAATCAGTAAACATGGTCTTTTCGTGATTTTGAGTTGTGTTATACATGTTCTCACTTATTCCGGAACTTTTTCTTATCATCCCTTTAAGAGGAGTTGATAGTGGTAGCAGGGCACCATCTA